ACATGTTATAGAATAAAATGAACATGTTACAAAATAAAATGAACATGTTATAGAATAAACTGAACATGTTACATACATAATAAAATGAACATGTTATAGAATAAGATGAACATGTTACATAATAAAATAAACATGTTATAGAATAAGCTGAACATGTTACATACATAATAAAATGAACATGTTATAGAACAAGATGAACATGTTACATAATAAAATGAACATGTTATAGAATAAGATGAACATGTTATAAAATAAGATGAATATGTATTATTTTTAATCTGCAATCTGTAACATGTTCATTATATGTCAGTATAATAAAATAATTACGAAAAAACAAAAAATTAGTTGTGTTCAAAAACCTATCAAATATGGTCTCTATTTATAGATAATGAAAAATTATGGATTTTGGTATTTTTATTTTTTTTTTAATATAAATAATTAATGATATTTTAATTTATGTAATATGTCTCATTTTTCAATTAAAAAAAGAAAAATAGGAATGTGCACTACACTCTCTTAATTTTTTACTTTTGGGGGGTGAGGGGCGCGTGCAAAATGTGCCCTGGCACACCTAGCTAGGTGTGCCAGGGCACACGGTAGGACTACTGTAGGTGGAAGTCCTATAAATAGGACATAGAGTTATAGAGGAAAGTAAACTGAATGAGACACGAAAAATGTCATATGCATTCTCAGATCTCTCATATCTCATAGCCTCACGCATACATAGTGCTCAGTTCTCGTCTCTATTCCTGTTCGCTGGAACTCTGAGGACTGGTGTGCTACAGCTTCCGAGTGTATAGCCGTTGTATCTTTGGGGACATTACGCACAGACCCGTCAGCACTATATGGGGCGTATTTGTCTTGCGGAAATATTTCAATCGCCTCGGCTTTAATCTGTCCGCATTCGAGTTGTATTTTACATTTTTTGTTTAGTTCATATTGTACGAACTGAACTCTTCAGTCAGTTCATAGGTTCCCGTTGTAATTCAAAACACAAATTGTGTAACAAAATGTAGCACCTACTACAGGTCTCTACCTGATATGCTGAAATGCAAGTGCTGAATGGATTGCAACTGTCGGAGGCTCGACTCCCCACAAGCTCTTAAGACTCGAAAAACAAAAATCGAAAGATGCTAGTGGCTAGTGAAGGCTTGCGGTGGCCTTGGCTCGGTGCAAATCCGGGCATCTCGGCACGGGAGCAGCTGAGAGCTGCGGCTGAGGCTGGTACAAGGCTCAGTGGAGGGCTGTCGTGTGTGGAGCTCGAGCTTGCAACAGGTCTTGGCTCGATTTTGAAGAACTAGGGCCGATTTATGTATGAATGCTAGGAATTTTATGTAGTATTTTAAAACTTAGGTTATTTTTGGAGAGTGTAGGATTTTTGAGCTATGGAGTCTTGAATGTAGGAGAATAAAATGAGGATGAAGGGAAATGGAAGACACAGTTATATAGTGCCAAATGTGACATTAGGGGTATGGGACAAACGTACAAAATCAAATTTGTCCTTGTCCCCTAAAGTAAGCTTGGTAGTTGACATGTTGACCAAATTTAAATTTGAATTGATGACCATGAATAATTCCTCCTAAAATTATTTCAAGACTTAGGAATATGAAATGAAATTTAACCTGTTGACAACCGACCTAGTAAAACTTGGTTAAAAGCGAAATACACATAACATTAAAGATTATCGCTTTAATCGAATCGTACGTCCAAGTCCTTGAAGTTCTGTCCCATTCAGATAAGAAACCGACTTCACATCCAAAACGAAAAACTCCTTTTAGAAGATCTTTCTCATAACCGAGGTCCGAGGAGACCGACTCTCGAAGCAGGTGACTAAGCGTTCGCACAACTGGACCATGTGCCATACCGTAATCATTACTGTGTGCTCGCCGACCGACGAACTGCCTCATAAAGCTACTTCACATTTAATGCAGTCACACCTACCTCGTACGACAAGTTAACTGTGGGCTATTATAAATAGCGAAATTCATTATTGTACGAGGGGAGAGTAACAATCTTTCACTACATGCGAACAAAAAATAACTCGGTTCACGTTCAAAACGACTTCTTGTACAATAAAAAACATATAAATAAATTGCATATTTCTCGCTTTTATATACTAATCGCAAGTTATAATCATTGTATAATTTCAAGTATCAACAATTTGGCACTAGAGGAAGGGTTCCATAAGTTATTTGGCGTTAATCTTCAACTATCTGCACCACAACCACACATGTTTATTCAATGTATCAATATCAATCGTTTCAATCCAAGCATGTCCCAATATGAGCAACAAGAACAAACTTTAAAGGCCGACCATAGCCGTGATGTTGTTCGATCTGCAGGACGAACAACTATAGCTCCGGCGCTTCCAGATTTTACCGCTCTGTTTCAAAATCCTGGATTTACCTGGTAGGACCTACTTGCATATCAATGTTCACTTGCAGGGAAAACTATTTCTCGGTTCTCTATTGTACTTTTCGACACATGACTACACGGTACTTTGCACGTGGCACATAGCAATCCGACACACCAGCAACCCGGGGCCCTCGGACGTGGCATACCAGCATGCAGCACCTGCGTGTGGTGTACCTGCGATTTGGATCTAGTCCTTTCTGGCGACAAAAGTCATCTCGTATTGAGAACTATGTTCCTCTCGGCCCAGTTTCAAGACTCCATGGTATACCCGGCTAAGTGACCCTTATTTCAAGCCGTCATGGTAACCTGAAATAGTGACTTTTATACACTGGAAAGACTTACTACATAGGCTCAACTGAAAGCATTAGTACGAAACAACATCTAAGGTCTATTCTTAACTCGAAACATAAGTTCAATTCTGGCTAGAATCTCAGGTCTCTTCCCGATCGTCTGTCGGTCCACTCTTGACCTCGAATCCTTCTCTCTATTACTATCTTGGTACGCTGGCGAATTACACGTGTCTGTACAAGGTCGTATGGTGCCTACGCCAAACGTCATCTATTAACTGTTTTCGTGACAAATAATTCTCGTGACGCATTCGTCATCCAAAATGCAGACTCTTAAGTGTTTCATCTTTGACTCTCGCATGAGAGAGGGTTGGTTCTTTTTCTATTTGTCGTCTTTTATTGGATCTTCTGGCAACTGCTACGTTCTACCGTTGGCGTATTCCCATATTATTGATACGCCCTGGGGTGACGACTACTCTTTACTTTCTCCGGGCTTGGTCCATTACGAAATTCGGGCGATCTCTATGTCTTCCCTTTCGTGTGTAGCATTCGAGTACTTAGCTTCTGGAAATGGTAAACAATTTACTTTTTGGTCATTTGCAATATTGAGACGTTTCAGACATTGTGATAAGTATTTTTATTCCGGAATGATAGGAAAACATCCAACATATTTGGGTTTTAAACTTCGACTTCAGAAGAGTCTCAAAACGCATGATGAAAGAAAATCAGAAGGATTCTAGCGAGTTCACAGAAAATAAGTCATAATCACAGCTATATGACAAATGAAACTAACTAACTACGCTCCTCCTCTCTACTGTTCGGAGCATGGTCTAAGGTACGGGCTGTATGGCCGGCACTGCGGCAGTGATAGCAAATGTTCTGTCCTGCTGAACACTCTCCTTGGTGAGGGCGTTCACATGTGGCGCAGACTGGTATAACCTACTGTAATGGCTGGGCTATCTAAGCTGGGGCCTCTCCCCTCCGTCGGTCTCCTCTCCCATCACGACATTAGAACTTCCTCTTGTTTTGGCCAGGGGGCCTACTGAGGTGGCGTTCGTAACGCGGGCTGCTAATCGGCTGACGGGTGAATGACTGGCTGCACAATTAGTGGGCGGACTTAGCTGGCTGCCAACCCAAAGCTCACATCGATCTGCTGAGCCCTAGTGACGGTCTCAACATACGATAGCGGGCCCTAAGCGGTGAGATGGTAGCGGATCTCATTGCGAAGACCGACGCGAAAGCGGCGGGACCACTACTGTTCATCTGCGATCATGTGGGGGACAAACAACCCGAGGCGAGTGAACTCGCGCTCGTACTCGTCCACTGCCATGTCGTCCTGCTTTAGGGCCAGAACTGGCGCTCCATCCTCTCGCGGTAGTACACTAGGTAGTACTTCTCCCGGAGAATCTCCTTCAGGCGAGCCCAAGTGAGGGTCGCCTTCTCTTCGGGCCTTATGTCCTAGTACGTTGACCACCATAGACCGGCATCCCCTGTCAACTGGAGCTGCTAACACATGATTTGATGTTGCTCGGGGCAATTCATCACCTCGCAAATCAGGTCAAGGCTACGCAACTACTCAACAACCATCCTCGGGTCTCTCTGCCTATTGAATTTCGTCGGGTGGAACCCGTGAAACTGCGAAACTGAATAGGCCTGAGCATTAGTACTTTATAAATTATCTTTTTTCTGTTTGTTGCATAGTTTTTCGAATTATTATTTTCCTCTCTCTATCGCATAGCTTTCGAATAAGTTATCTTTGCTTGTCCGTCGCATCAATTTTTGCATAAATTATTTTCTTCTGTCTGTCGCATAGTTTATCGCATAAAATTTTTTTACATTATCAATCATGTTCGTCTCCTTTTGGCGCATAATTTATAGCATAATTACTTTG